CGGGAACCCGACTCGATCTCATCTAGGTGAGTACGCGTTGCGTGTTCGTATCGCGGGAGAACGTGCTTGTGGCTAGTGCGGTTCAGATCCTGTCATATGAGCTGGTGGAGCCCTAAAGTTCTGCAGGAAGACTCTGTTACGAAAGGGGAGGCAGCAATGGACATGGCCGCCCGCACAAACTCCCGGGGATCGTATGATATTGCACGCAGCTGACGCTCTTTTGCGCAGAGCACCACATTGCAAAGATCTCTTCTGCCGCGCATGCTTTCGCTGTGTCAAGCGGCATGGCCGCCTTGGACGTCATCACGCGCCTGCTCAAGCCAGGCGTAGAGGTCATCGCGGGTGACGACTTGTACGGCGGCACCAACCGTCTGCTTACCTACCTCCGGACGCACATGGGTGTCACGGTGCACCATGTAGATACGACGAAGGCGGAGAGTGTAATCCCATACCTCCACCCTCGCAAGACCGCCATGGTGCTTCTGGAGTCGCCAACGAACCCTCTGCTCAAGATAGTTGATATCGCGGGGATTAGCGCCCTCGTGAAGGAGAAGTGCGAGGATGCGGTCGTCGTGGTAGACAACACCATGATGAGCCCATACCTGCAGAGGCCTCTGGAACATGGCGCGGACATCGTCTACGACAGCGCGACCAAGTATCTGAGTGGACACCATGACCTGATGGCTGGTGTCATTACGTGCAACCGCGATGACCTTGCCAAGGTACGTACTAGACGTGCAGATGGCTCTCTAATTTACGTTTCACTAACATGTCACCCTCCTGCAGGAAATCGCCTTCATCATCAACTCCGTCGGGAATGCGCTCACGCCCTTTGATTCCTTCCTCCTTCTGCGGGGCACGAAGACCCTCGCTATCCGGATGGACCGTCAGCAATCCACCTCGATGCTTGTTGCGCAGATGTTGTCGAAGCTCGGCTTCGTCACTCACTACCCCGGCTTGCCCAACCATCCTGGCAAGGATATCCATGACCGGATATCTGACGGTGAGTCCCATCCGACTTTAAATGTGCTTACATATATTCAATGCATCTCGCGCAGGTTACGGCGCCGTCCTCTCCTTCGAGACTGGCGACAAGGAGCTGAGTGAGCGTATCGTGGCAGCCACTCGTTTGTGGGGCATCAGCGTGAGCTTCGGCTGTGTGAACAGTCTCATCAGCATGCCTTGCGTGATGTCGTGAGTGTGGCTTCTCCGAGGGTGTCGTATCTGCTCCGAACAAGCTCGCTAATTTATCCTGCAAGGCACGCTTCCATTGACCCTGCCACTCGTGCGGCCCGCGGCCTTCCTGAAGATTTGATCCGCCTGTGTGTCGGTATCGAGGACCCTGCGGATCTATTGGACGACCTTCGCCATGCACTCATCGAAGCCGGCGCGATCACCTTCGCCGCCAACAACTACATCCGCATCCCGAACCCCATCAGCCGGGCTGTCGAGAAGCTCGCGCTCGGGGAGGCACGTACTGCACGTCCCCAGGACCACCGTGAGTGGTTTGTCAGCGCTCCAGGTAAGGTCATCCTGTTTGGTGAACACGCGGTCGTCCACGGTGTTGTGAGCACTCTCCTTGTGGTTCTTCCAGTATGCGGTATTGATGTTGTGCACAGACTGCTGTGGCTGCGTCAGTGGACCTTCGTTGTTACGGCCTCACATCACCGCGCTACGACGGCAAGCTCTCGGTGCACTTTGCGGACATCAACAACTACAAGCACGAGTGGGATATCGACGAGCTGCCATGGGATGCTGTCGTACCCATACCAAATGGCGAGGTCCATCCTGACACGCTGGATCAACGTGTTGTAGACGCCATCAAGTCGAGGGCTCTCCCACCAGAGGACAAGATGCCTCCAAAGACACATGCAGCAGCGATTGCTTTCCTCTATCTGTACATGATGATGACTACTCACGGCAGCAGGTGAGCTCTTCAGACGCCTCTGTGCCAGTGGGTGACAGCTCGTTAATGCTTATGTAACAGGCCATCCTTCCACTTCGTATGTCGCTCCAGTCTCCCCATCGGTGCTGGCCTCGGCTCCTCTGCCTCCTTCTCTGTCTGCATTGCCACCGCACTCCTCATCCTCCACGGTCGCATCGAGCTCCCAACCGTCCCGCCACCCTCTCGCGAGGCCATCGGCAGCGACCCTGGTCACGTCCACGTCTCACATGGAGGTCGCCGCGCCATCCCCCCCGACATTGCTGAGGAGACGAACCGCTGGGCATTCGTCGCCGAGAAGGTGCTGCACGGGAACCCGTCTGGGGTTGACAACTCCGTCGCGGTCTTCGGTGGCGCTCTTGCGTACGTGCGCCCCGGGTTCGGGAAGCGCAGCGGCATGGACCAGATCCAGGGCTTCAAATCGCTGCGTTTCCTCCTCATTGACTCGAAGGTACCTCGCGACACGAAGGCACTCGTCGCTGGTGTTGCGAGGAAGAAGGCGGCGGAGCCCGAGCTCGTGGGCAAGCTGCTCGATGCTATCCAGGTCATCAGCAACGAGGCGCGGCGTGCACTTGCGGACCCCGAGGTCCCGCGCAACGTTCTTCTCTCTGGACTCGCCGTACGTGTAACGCCATAAACGCTGGCGGATGTCGTGCTGACAGCTCACTTGTCCTTGTAGTCTCTCATTGACGAGAACCACGTCCACCTTGCTTCCCTTGGTGTCTCGCACCCGTCGCTCGAGGTCATCCGCGCGAAGACGGCCGGCGCGCCCTACCGCCTCAGCACCAAGCTGACCGGCGCAGGTGGCGGAGGCTGCGCTGTCACGCTCGTTCCTGATGGTGGGACACTATATATGCATCCAGCCGCCAGCGGTGCTGATCAGCCTGCACGTACAGATTTCCCGGAGGAGAAGCTGCAGTCGCTCATCAAGTCACTCGAGGCTGCAGGTTACGAGCCGTACGTCACCGCTGTCGGCGGTTCTGGTCTCGGTATCCTCTCGCCATATGACGAGATCACCGTCGACGAGGGCGACGATTCACCGCCGCTCTCTCCGCCCATGACGCCGATCGGGGAGGGTGCGGACGGCCCCGCTCTCCAGCATTCCATTCGGCGCCGCTTCGAGAAGGTCAGCAGCACGGAGCTCTCCAAGTGGGCGTCGACGCGCGGAAAGTGGCTGTATGTCTAGACGTGCACCTGGTGTGTACCTGACTTGCGGATCTATTTTGGAGTTGTTGTATTCTACAGTATAATGCGATGGTGTTGTACATGCTTGGATGGCCATGGGGTCTATAATACATTGAAGCGCCATGTGCTTTGAGCCTGCTTCTGTCTTCTCTCTCGTATGACTTCATGCACCGAACAGCGACCACCACACCTCGCCCGCCTCGTCTGGCCCTCGTCCCTCGAGGATCTCCACCTGGACCTCGTTCTTCGGAGGGATGAACACCACAGCTCCCTGGTCGAGCACCAACTGCTCCGTTTGATCGCCCTTCTTGGTGCTAAGTTTGACCTTGCCTCTCGTCACGATACCAATTGTCGGGCCGTCCACTGCGCCCAAGTGCTCCTCCCTCGCCTTCCTTGCGCTGAGGAACGTGCCAAGAACGGTAAACTCTTCCAAGGGCGGGTCATACTTGACCGTGCGTCCGGGCTTCGAATGCTCGTACTTTTGCGCGGGGAGCGACCAGTGCGAGACGGGGCGTGCCGTGTAAGTAAGCATGTCGACGAAGGTGTCGACTTGGGAGGCGAGGGAGTCTGGGGAGTCGAATGCGGCGTTGACGACGTTGTCGGAGATAGCCATGCACTCGATGATGTCTGGGCAAACGAGTCGTCAGCACCTCCCAAGCGAACTACGCCATTCCATTACTCACCGCCCTCGAGGTAAGCATGTATTTCGTCGGCGCCAATATAGATGCTCTCGCCCTTCCGGAGCTTGGCAAAGTTCATGAAGAAGGTAGTCGCAAGCACGCCGGCGTCACCGGGGTACTGCTTGTTCACCTTCAGGACGAGCTTCGCGAGCTCATCGCTGTTGTGGAAGCCAAGGCTGCCCCCGCTCTGCTTAATGCGGTCCTGCAGCTGGGAGATCGTCTTAGCAACCTCCTCGCGTGCCTCCACGCCGCGCTTGAGCAGCTTGCCAAAGATCTGGCGCAGAGAATCCTTGGACGGGTATTGAACGAAGGAGGAGACGAGCTGGGAGTCGCCGATGGCCTCACCAAGCTCCGGGACCGCCTCGATGAATCCTCTGATCTCCTCGAGGGGACGGAATCCGACAAAACCGGTGAAGGCGGTGTCTTCGCCGCCGACCACTTCTTGCTCATCCCCATGCGGCTGAGCCGCCCTTTCCCGAGCTGTCTTCAGCGGCTCTCCGATGGCCACAGCAATTTCGGGCTTATGGTTCGCGTCGACGAAGTTGGAGGGATCCTTGAGCTGCAGCTGCTCGCCAAGACCTTTCTCTGGATGCGCCTGCAGAGGTAGCGCTTTCGCGATGGAGAGAACCTTGAAGAGGTAGGGTATGTGGGTAGTGGAGGGCCATTTCCTGAGGAGGGCTTCTCCGAGGTAAAATTTGGGATCGGAGGAGATGAGAGAGAGCAGTGTTTTGGAGGGATCGTCGTACAGGTGTGCCGGGCCATTCGTGTGAGTGCCCATCCAAATCTTTGTCAATCAAGTGAGCACGAGTCTGCTGTCACGAGCAGAGAGATCACGCACCTCTGCGTAGGACTCGTTCTCGTCGATCCTGAAGTCATGGCCGATGGCGTTGCAGGCGAGCTGGGCTGCAAGAGAGGACGAGCCTTGTCTGCCCCAGGGGTACTTCTGGGTAGCTGCCTGGATGCGGATGAGATTCTTGTTTGTGGACATCGTGTTCTGTGTTCTGCTCGCTCTCCCCACTCGTTGGCGGTCTTATATACCCACAGAGACGCTCTCTCCAAGGCGCATGGGGTCCATGACATCATCCTCGCCTTCCCAAAATGGCAACACAATTGCCGCTTTCGGCAGACATACTGAACGCCTCTGAATTGTCAATACCTCTGGTCCAGTATATGCATGTCAGGCTTGTTGGTATGGTGAGATGGCCGAGCGGTCTAAGGCGCCAGACTAAGGTCGTTACCTGCAATCTGGTCCTCACGGGCGTGGGTTCGAATCCCACTCTCATCATTGACGAACCTGCTGAACATTTTCTTTTTCACGCGTGCCATGGTGAGCAGTGATAGTCTCTGCCACATGCCGAGCCGTTCTCAATGAAACCTCATGCATCGCCTTACATGCTGCAAGTAAATTGCGCTGTCGTAACCATTCAGGCTCGTGGAGGCTCGTGGACAACAGTTGGAGCTGTGACACAACAGGCGGCCATCAAGCCCCAGGTGTGACTAATCCTGGATGCTTCTCGCCCTAAACTGTGCCCGTGCAGCCCGCCGGTTGGGCTACCCAGTGCGGCCATCCACTAGCTGGAATATCGTTCATCAAGCACCCAGCACCATCAAACGCACCAGGCAGGTCAACCACAATCACAGGTATTACAGTACCACTCGTCCCGCCGGTACCGTCTACATGTATCCTCCGATCGAGCCCTACGAGACCGGGAAGCTCAAGGTTTCCGACATCCACACGCTCTAGTACGCGCAGCCATCCTGGATATCCTGGATCGCGGCCCTCGGGACTGATACCGCTCTCTTGCTGTTGCAGCTATGAATTGAGCGGGAAGAAGGACGGCAATCCTAGTATGTGCATCCCGGTCCTGGAACTCGGGCCTGCGCTGCGATCAGTCGTCCATCCCGCTGACCGGTGCGCATCTAGTCGTGTTCTTGCATGGGGGCCCCGGCGGCGGCACCGATCCCTTAGATCGATCTTTCTTCGATCCGAGCAAGTACAAGGTGCGCGGTCGTGACGTGACGTACACGCTGCTGTGTTAACCACACGCTGACTCGTATGCGTCGGCTGGGCTGTAGATCGTCCTGTTCGACCAGAGAGGCTCTGGCAACTCCACTCCGTGCGTAGTCCTTCTGATCGGACTGAATCGCATCGTAGAACGTGCGTCTGATTCGATGGCGCAGGACGGCGTCGCTCGAGGAAAACACGACGTGGGACCTCGTGAAGGATATCGAGAAGCTGCGTGAGCACCTCGGTATCGACAAGTGGCACGTCTTTGGCGGCTCGTGGGTGAGCCGTTCTGCCGACAAAGACATTCGTGCCCATGTTGATGCGACGCGATTCTTGCTCCAAGGGGTCGACGCTTTCTCTCGCGTATGCGCAGGTGGGCAGTTTCCTATTGATAACGCGTCGTGGTTCCGAGGACTGATGCTGCCGCGACTGGCAGTCCCATCCGGACCGAGTGAAGACCCTGGTGCTCCGGTATGTTTACTCGACCAAGGGCAGTGGAAGGGGTCTGAATCGATATCATATTCCTGTACAGCGGCATTTTCACGCTGCGCAAGAGGTTTGCCGTTCCTTCTCTGTATTGTGGCGATATTAACCGCTCCGAAAAGCGAACTGCGCTTCTTCTACCAAGATGGCGCGTCTCACATATTCCCCGAAGCATGGTATACCGCATCTCCTCTCCTGTGGAGTTCTGCTAACCTCAGTGTCTCCCGCCCACAGGGAAGAATTCATCGCTCCGATTCCCGAGGCTGAGCGGGGCGACATCGTCCTTGCGTATCACCCGCAGCTCAACTCGGAGGACGACGAGACGCGCCTCCGCGCGGCGCGCGCGTGGACCAAGTGGGAGATGTGGACGTCCAAGCTGCACGTCGACCCGAAGCAGGTCGCCGAGGCGGACGACAGCGAGTGGTCCAAGTACGTCTGCCTCTTGCATCGTACCTTTGAGTAGCGGTGACAAGGATTGTGATGCATCTTGCAGCGCGTTCGCGAGGATCGAGAACCACTACTTCGTGAACAACGTGGGTATACCGTCAATATAGTCCGGAGACGTTGCTGACGCAGTACTTGCGTGTTGACAGGGTTTCATGCGTGACGGTCAGCTGCTCGAGAAGCAGGAGATTGACAAAATGTGAGCCCTCCATCCAGGCTACGCGGACGGTGCTCATAGGTTCGCACGCAGCCGTCACATCCCGTGCGTCGTCGTGCAAGGCCGCTACGACGTTGTGTGCCCGGCGACGACCGCCTATGCGCTCAAGAAGGTCTGGCCCGAGATCACCCTGCACATCGTGCCCGACGCGGGGCACTCCTCCCGCGAGCCGGGGACGAGCAAGTTGCTGGTGAAGGTACGCCTCCTCCCTTCCACGGGGAAAGAGATAGTGATTCATTTGTCGCAGGCAACGGACGAGTTTGCGCACATTTAGAAGGTGGATGTCTACCCGAACGGACGATACCTATATACTACAGGGTGAAACGATGCTTGGATCTACGAACATCTGTACGTTGCGTTGGGAAACGTGAGCCGAACTTACTGAACGTCTGTCAGTCTGAGCTGCACAATCGCCGCAGCATCGTGCGACACAGAGGAGATTGAATCATGGAAGTTCGCCCTCTGACTTCGCCGACGGCGTCTTCCTTCAGTTTGTCACCATTGTCGGAGATACGCAATTGGCTATGTTCACACTGGAAGGCGATGCGATAGCGAGGGTATTTATGTGCTGGCGAAGTGTCGACTGCACAGTAGTCCCCTCCTTTGCCTCCGACATCCTCCAGACTCCGGCATACTGGCAAATGCGCAGACCTCGAGGCCCGAAGTACCCCTCATAAATTTATGCAGGATAAGTGCATCCGGTCACTGGAGTGGTATCCAAGCTGCTAGGCCCACGTATAAACCTGCTTGGAGGACGAGTGAGCACGACGAATGCGGGAAGATGGCCCGATCGGTACTGTGACGTACATGACTTGGCCTAGGGCGAACGGACGACCTGACGCTGAGCACGCTCCTTTGTCCCCTCACTTCACCCACCTTCCGCCCAGGTCCCGCGCGGAAAACGTTACAAGATACCAGCATGAGCTCGAGTGCCTTTCCAGAGCCCAGGACCAGACCGAGGCGTCCAGGATGATCACTGCGGAGAGACGCCCGGCAGCGGCGGCGTGGCATGTCCGTCGTGAACCTGGGCGCATGTCGCAACGTTGGCAATGGAGGTGAGTGGTACGATTACGCGGATTGTTCTATTTCCTGTGTCGCTGGGCATGAGACGACGCGGTGCCGGTGAGCTGCGAGGAGTCGGCTCGCCGGGGCGCCACTAGGCCTCCACAGACGGACCCAGTGCGGACACGGGGCCCTCAGCCGCGCTCGGGCGATCCAGGAAAGCGCAGAGGGGCGGGCTGCAGATCGCCGGGACGAGGAGGGGCATCGCCAGCGACGGCGGCGAGCACCCTGTGCACAGCGTGTGCGTCGGGCACTGTGACACAGAGGGGCGCGTCGGTCAGCAGCGCGGACGCACTGGGCCGGGGCAGCCGGCGGCAAGATTAGATGCCCATGATCTAATCAGATCACATGTGCCAAAATTCGAGGCGAGTGGGACGACTTTCGGTTGCGCGCTCTGAATATAAGCAGGACGGGCAGCTCGGTCCCTCTCGTCGTCGTCCCCGTTGCTGCCGGCCTCCTCAACGCCCACAGCCTAGCTCACCGCCAGCTCCGACGACATGGACATCGTCCTCAAGCTCGCAGACGACTACGTCCTCGATCGCGCCTGGGCAGCGCTTCTTCCCGTGTCCGCATTCACAACTGCCACCTCCAATGCGGCCGGCCTATACAATGCCTCTTCTCACGTCTTACCCCCGGCCTCCCAGCCCTCAGCATGGTCGCAGCTCATCTCCTACATCCCGCATCCACCACTCACCAGCGAGCTCCTCACCGCCCCTCTTGTCGAGTCCGGCAACGTCGCGTCGGCATGGCCACGGGACTACATGCCGCGCCAGCTCATCTCCCTCTTCGTCATGACTCTCATCGGCATTCATGTACTCTACTTCCTCATCGCCGGCCTCTCCTACAAGTACATCTTTAACCACGACATGATGAAGCATCCGCGCTTCCTCAAGAACCAGGTCAAGCTTGAGATTCAATGCAGCTTGAAGGCATTCCCAGGAATGACGCTGCTCACCGTCCCCTGGTTCCTTGCCGAGGTCCGCGGTCACTCCAAGCTCTATGACGATGTCTCGGAATACGGCTGGGGCTACTTTGTCTTCTCAATATTCTTGTGAGTACCCGCCACCGCTCGCGAGACATCTCACTTTGCTCATGGAGATTCAGCTTCCTCTTATTTACGGATTACTGCATCTACTGGATCCACCGCGGCGAGCACCACCCCATTTGCTACAAGTGGCTGCACAAGCCGCACCACAAATGGCTCAGTGAGTGCCGCTTTTGCGTCCCACCTCTCCTTCGCAGCGTACTGATTTCGTCCGCGCAGTCCCTACCCCCTTCTCGTCGCACGCATTCCACCCCCTCGACGGTTATGCCCAGTCCATCCCGTACCACCTCTTCATCCACCTCTTCCCCCTCCACCGTATGTTGTACCTGGGGCTCTTCGTCTTCGTCAACATCTGGTCCATCCTCATCCATGACTCGGACATGATCACTGGTCACCCCCTCGAGACAATCATCAACGGCCCGGCGCATCATACACTGCACCATCTCTACTTCACCGTGAACTACGGCCAGGTACGCACTTGTCGCGCGATGCGTTGTGGACAGACATGCTGACGCGGTTCGCATCTACAGTACTTCACGTGGGCAGACAGGATGGGCAACTCTTACCGGCAGCCGCTCTCTGAGCTTGACCCCATGCTGGACGTCAAGGCCGCCGAGGCCCAGAAGCAAAAAGCAGCGCTTGGCAAGGACCAGTGAGCACCTCTAGAGCTCCCTGTGCTCTCGCCTTGTATATGCCGTTCTGTGCTGCTCGTTTGTGCTTGTTCATGTTATCCCATATACCGCCCACTGACTCTGCTTGCGCGCATGTTGTTTATTCCTCACGTTCACGATACGCCACGACTCAGTCAAATGTACATTACTATTATCCATCGCATAGCCCCCGCGCTCGCGCTGCACTGCGGTAGCGTGCGGGCGGGCGAGGCATTATCCGCGCCATCTAGGTACTTGTAGAGAGAAGAGATCTAATCGTTTGCTAGTTAAGAGTCGTGTAGCTCGTCCTAATGGCATGTCTTGTTCTGTTGTGACACATTTATATTGTTTTCGACGTCCGTGTTGCGACGCGTTC